CGATTACAAAGGGGCAGGTAATTTATAGCGAATAATGAAACGGTGCTTGTACATTTATATGTCCGTTAACATTCGACATTTTACGCGCGATAACGCTAAAATTGTCACAAAATAGTTATTTACTCATCTAATCACGGTTTATTTCAACGATTGTAACAACGTGCGTTGTCATTTGTTCTTATTGTTGGTTATCGTTTAATTATACGTGTCAGTTTGCGACCAATTGTATACATCGACTAATTTTCTCACACACACATATGTATAAATTTCAGTACGCCGTTTTATACTCTGGAGAGGAATGTCTGGGCAGCTCAATGATATCGTATACAGGACCATCCTATTTTGCACTTAATCGGCAAAACTGTATAAATGATGCTCGTAGCCACAATTTGATAGCCATCTCTTAGAGTTTAAATGTATCAGTGTGTGTAAGTACACATACAATTTTTATAAGCTTTAATTAATAAATAAAATTGTTTCAATAAAATTATTTAAAGATTTATCAATTTGCATCAAATACGATAATTTTTTTTACCATTTTCGTTCAAACACCAATTCTCTCCGTAACATATGTCTCTCATGTTCCACAAATTAAAAGTCACATCCACATGCTTTACCCAGTTTTTTCACATATTGCAGTAATTTGAAGCTTGAAACTTTCAACGTGCTCCGAGATGGAGATGCGCTCAAATTTCTGTCTAGAATCTAGTCTAGATGCTATATGTGAGTCAACTCGTTCAAGTCGTAGTTGCCGCTTTTCAATTTTTCCAAGTGATGTTTGTCGTAGCATACTTCTCGGCACTCTCTCTTCAGATTACTCATGTGTGTTGGTTAAAACTATAAAAAGTAGTTTTAAATTTGTAGAAAATTCAAGCGAATTTTATGCCGTGCAGAGTGCCATTAAGAAAAATGGCTTTAGAAATGAAAGAGAGGAAAAGAAAGGCAATTTAATTCGTAGCATCGAGTGTAATTAAAATCTCATAAATCTTTATATCTTTCGTATCTTATATCTCGTCGAACAATTTCAGATTTCAATGACAGAAATTATCATGAATGCCACTTATGTATCATCATCGAGACATTAACT